AAAAAAAAAAAATTAGCTGCATCTGTTTTAGGGAACCAATACCTCTTTTGGAAATGTTTAATTGACTCCTTTTTTAAACTAAGACACAGACATTTTCTTCACTTTTCTTTCTGAGGTTCGTAGGTAGACAAGCCTAGGTCAAGAGGATGTTTTCACTGTGCTGGCCATTGGAACTACAAGGAGGGAGCAAAGTCTGCAGAATCAGGAGTCGATGATAAGGAGAAAGAGCTAATGTGGCAACCTCAAGAGGCAAGTGCAATGTTCTTAGCTTCAGGGCTTCCCAATTCTGAGTCCTTGGTAGGGTGACCAGCCACCGCAGTGCGTCCTGGACTGCAGAGTTTCCTTGAGGTGAAGGAGCTGAGAACGGAATGAATCATTTATGTAAACTAGCCCTGTGTCATAATGGTGACAATTCAGAGAAAGCCCACTCATTCCCTGAAATGAGAAACCCTTATCCTGTAGGTAGGAGCCAGAATGGATATTTATCTCAGGTTATTGCTCTGCTCCCCCCAAAAACTATTCATACATTTATTCAATAAATATGTATGAAACACCAAGCAGGGTTCTAGGCATAAGACCCCTGGTCTTGTGGTGCTTCCATTACTCTGTGTGTGCATGTTGGGGCAAGAGGGGCAGAAATAAATGAAAACGCATGAAATATATGAGGATGGATATGATAAGTACAGTGGCAGAAATAAGATGGATTGATGGAATGGAAATTTCGGGGGTGGGGGATTGCTACTAGTTTGGTGGTGGGGGAAGGTTACCCCGGAGAGCTACACTGGAGGCAAACCAGTGATGAGAAGAGCCAGTCATGTGAAGATCCTCAGGAGGCATTAGGGGCAGAAGGAGCAGAAGGAATGTGTGAGGCGGCATGAGTGGAAACCAGGTGGTCTTCCTGGAGGAACTTAGTAAAGGACTTCATGAATGCAGTACGAGGAGAGAATGCCGATCTGGAAGCAGTCTTAGCATCCACCCGATCTAAGTTCCATTTTCACACATGAAGATAAAGACTCCGAGGCTCCCTGCCTTGACCACAGTCTATTGATTGCTAATCCGGTACTGCTTGGAAGAGCTAACCCCCAAGGAGTGCTAATGCTGTGTCCCCTGGAGGCCCATGACCATTCCTTCTGTTTAAGATGAACTTTATTTAAAGCTACACAATAATTACTCGTTCCATAAGCCACACATAACAACGTGTTATGCCACGTTGCCACTAGCCACTCAGCTTGAGAACTTAATTTTCTCCCCGGGTGCAAGTGGAATTGAATCAAAGAGATTCACTTATTTTAGGTGTGAGAACGACGGGAAATGGAATTGTTTGTGGAGGGACACAAGGGCCAAAAACACTGGCCTCAAGGTGGGAGAGAGGGGCTTTGGGGTACAGATCAACTTCCGCCGGTGGGGGCCCCCGTAATTCCGTTAAGAGATGCTTTCAGAACATCAGGTTAGGACAAATTCTGCAACCTGCAGAAACTGAAAATGAAACTGGTCGGTAAAGCAGGCAGCTCCAACTGACCTTTCCACCTTTTCCTGAACTTGGGCCCGTTCAGACCTTGAGGGTGCTACAGGTTGAGAACGTACAAGGTTTGGTCACAAATAGCCCGAGGTTTAAAGGGCAAGAGAAAGCAGGCAGACGCAACTCTAGGTATGCCAATAAAGAAAGGTGGAGGAGGCTGGGGGACAGGGAGCGATAGCAAATTGAATGCTCAGCTAAGGTACAGGGCTGGACCCCTGGGCTCCTCCTGGCCCTTCTTTCATCTCCCTCTCCTCTCTCCCCTGGGTCGGCAACTCAGCCACCCGAGGTTAAAAGTACTGCGGTTGTGAGCGGTGATTTTGGAAGCTCAAAGAGTTAACCTATCAAAAACTAACACAGGGGAGGAGAGAAAGACCACACCCCAAGGGAGCGCGGAGCCAAGTCACAGGAGAAAAATCCTATTGGCATCGAGGAGGCAGGAAGCCCGCCCCTGGGCGCGGCCTGCAGGGGGCAGGCTGTCGCTCGGGAAAGCAGGGGCAGTACGAGGCCCCCAGCAGGTGCGCCCGGCAGCCGCCCGCAGTCGCAGGGACCGCTCGCCTCACCTCCGCCGGGTGCGCTCTCCTCGGTTCGCGAACCCCGCGCCGCGCGCCGCCGCTGACATGTGTGCCGCCCCGATGCCGTCCCTGGCGCACATCTTCCGAGGGACATTCATCCACTCCACCTGGACTTGCCCCATGGAGGTGCTGCGGGATCACCTCCTCGGCGTGAGCGACAGCGGCAAAGTAAGCGGGCGCGGGGTCTGGCGCACCCCGACGGGCGCGCGGACAGGTGGAAGGAGTCCCGCGCGGTGCGCTGCGCAGCCCGGAGTCGCTCCGCGCGGAGCGAGAGCCGCCGCTCCGGAGTTGAACTTGACTGTTTGACTCTTGGAGAACGCGGCGAGAGCCCTGGCGCTGGGTTCGTGGGCTGGCCTGGGAGTAACGCGCTCCCAGAAGCAGGGAGCTGTAGAGTACGCACTCCCACGACTGGTTAGCAGCCGTCCAGGCTGCAGTGGAAGGGGGAGCGAGGCTATGCCCTCGCAAATCTTAAGAAATCATTAAGAAACCTGGACTTTGCTTCATTCAGCTTTGTATCTCCGGCGCCTGGCACAGTGCCTGGCACAGGCTAGGCGCTCCGTAAATTTGATTGAATTTATTGTGGAAGAAATAACAGAGGAGGGGTCACTTGGTTAATGTTGGTTAGCCCTTTCAGCGCACATAATAAGCAAAGAACTGATTTCATTCACTTGCTCGCTCAACAGACACTGCACCAACGACTCCAGCTAGATAACTTATAATACTAGAAAGGATAGTCTGAGAGAAATTATCCATGTCCCCTCTGCCTCCCCATAGCCATTTGTCCATTTGCATCAAAGCAAGCAGTTCCATTTTCAGGCTCAAAATGTCTTCTATGAGTGTATCTTCTATATTTCTTTTTCCAAAATCGGGATTTCTACAAACGACCTGGGTAACTTGATGTCTAATATTTACCGTGCACATGCCCCGTGCCAGAGGTGGTAACTTCATCAGCAGCGGCTTGGCCAGTTTGATAAGTGGAAGCCATTCCATTTTTAGCAGAAAAAAATAAAGATGAGGATGGGATATTTTTGAGCTTTTTCCCAACTACCAGTCTGGTTAGCAAAAGTACACCTATTTGTGACTTGTCAGCTTGAAGAGACTATTCCTGACTAAATACGCTTCCCAGTCAGTGACGGTTTTGAATCGTGACTCTTACATTTGGGGATAAGCGAACCCTGTTTTCTTACGGTGCTTAAAAATTATTCTCTCTGTGCATATTCAGGGAGCCTGCTGCTGTGTTTCCAAGGTGATGGAACTCTCAGAGCTCCCCCAGATGGGGAGACTGTTTAATTATTGCCTTGTGTACTTGACCCTCAAGTTTGGAGGAACACTTAAGCTTGGGGCAAGTCCCAAGAAACAACGGAACAGAGACCTCTAAACTGGGGAGGGATTAAGAGGAGCTTGCCTAATCGCAAGGAGCTGTTCAACTCTTGGGTTTCTTTATAAAAATTAATTGCCCAAATCCAGAACTTTAATTGGTAAGATAGCAAGCAAGAGGGTGGGTTGAAGACTGTCTTCAACCAGTAGAGAGGAGTCAGAAAAGGAAATAATTTATCTAAAACAAAATTACTTCTGCTGGGGGTTGTACAGAAGAAGGAAAGCATTGACTCAGGGAGTCTATTCTCCACTAAGGAGCATACTGAAGTTATAAATTTAGAAAAATGCCATTCCCTCACAAGATAAAATTGACTAGGAATTGAATACAAAGGTGAGTTAATCAAGTGCCTTGTGAAACATCCTAATCAGTGAATTGGTAACTGTTGATTTCTCTTCTAGCTGCAAGGCAGTTGATTGTGGACTACGTGTAAGGGGAGAATGTGCCGTATATATTTCAAGATTTGATTTCCCCCATTTTGAAAGTGGGAATGCTTTGCCTTTATAGTTGCTGGGATAATATTTATTCAAAAAATGTCAAGGTTCAGGGACGCCTGCGTGGCTCAGTTGGTTAAGCAGCTGCCTTCGGCCCCGGTCATGATCCCAGTGTCCTGGGATCGAGTCCCACATGGGGCTCCTTGCTCAGCAGGGAGCCTGCTTCTCCCTCTCTCTCCCTCTGCTTGTGCTCTCTCTGTCAAATAAATAAAATCTTAAAAAAAAAAAAGTCAAGGTTCTTATACCAAATTAACTCCCCATAAAACAAATATGTGGAGTCATCGTGACGTTTACATTTTTACTGAGCTAAAGCTGTTCGCACCCTTTGGGATGATCAGAAACATCTAGGGGGTGTTTGTTAAAGTGCTGGTTCCTGGGGGTCATCCTCAGAGAATGTGAATTTATAGGCCTGGAGCGGGCCCCAGGAAATGGCATTCCAGCCAAGGTCCCAGGAGATTTGGAGGCAGGCAGTGGGTGCATTACGTCTTGGGTAACCACAGTGTATGGGTTGTGTGTTGGAAACAGTTCTATGGGATCTTGGGAACTACTTCTTCATTTTGAGCTCATGTCTAGGGTTGAATGTGAGAGAGAGGAGAATGACTTCCTCTGTCTTCCCTCTCCCTTTTAGACCTCAGCTCTCATGTCATGTAACTTCATTTAGATCCAGAGCATGATAATGACTAACTACTTTTAATTCATTAATTAAAGCTCATTCAAAATTAGGTTAATTAAAAAAAATTCTCAACCTTTTAGTATTGGGCATTTTGAATTCAGAGTTAGTTTTTCTACTTGAGTGGCATGTACCTTTTTAAAAGAAAGACTCCAGCATGTGTAATTTATTTGCAGATATTTAATGAAATTTTGAGACTCTGTATGCTCCCATACTACTAAATATCCAGTTCTTCCCACCTAGAACAGGATCAGGTTGACTTTAAACTTGCCTAAAAGAAGTCTTGGGTCTTTTAATGCACATTTACTGGAAGCAAGCACGAGGAAGAGAATCATTTTGGGGGTAGTGTCCTGGGATGGCAGGAGCAAGTCCTATGGAGAAACCAGAGAGTTGGGTTCAAGTTCGGTCTTCACCACTTACTTTCTCTGAGACCATGAGCGAGACACTTAACCTGTCTGAACCTCTGTTTCCTCGTTTGTAGAATCAGATTTTCTTTTGCTAAGTATTAAATGAGAGAATATATGAAAATGCCTGGCACTTAGTGGATACTTAACACATGCCATATTAATTCTGTCCCCTTCTTTCCCTCTGCTCCTAGTGATGTAGTTTTTGAATGTTTGTGTGTTGGTGTTGGTAGGGTGAGGTCCAGAGCCGACAGCCGAGAAGGGATTCTTGAGATGTCTTGGTGCAAAATGGTGCTTTTATTAAAGCACAGGGACAGGACCTGTGGGCAGAAAGAACTTTTACCTGCTGTTCCCTGCTGCTCCGGGCCTGTGAGGAGCAAGTGATTATATACCTTGGGGTTGGGAGAAGTAAAGATAAGGGAAGTTCCAAACGGACTTTGATCTGCTAAAGAAGGCTCAGTTTCCTGGAGGAATATTATAATCTGCCTATCTCAAGTATCTGTCAATGGGCTGCAGGTTATAAGGACGTTTAATTTTATCTACGTTTCCTTCTGCCTTTAGTTTCCCACATCACTAGCAAACCCTTAACCTCTTACTCACTCTAGTATTTTTTGCATATTTCCACATGGTGGCGTCATGCAGACCAGCAATTGGAGAAGAATGCTGTGGCCTGCGATGCACTGTGTGAGAAGTGGGGAGGCCACCAGATCTCAGCTGTGAAGCCGCCCAGCTCATGTCATTGGCCCACTGGGACACAAAGATGCAGCTGGGAAGAAAGATCTAACGAGGGTTTGTTGACAGGTTCCCTAGCACATCATATTTAGTATCCCACCGTGTCGTTATTCCCACTTACAGGTGGGGAAGTTGAGACTTGTCTTCAATTCAGGTTATGATCCCAGGCTCCTGGGATTGAGCCCCGCTCAGCAGGGAGTCCACTTCTCCCTCTCCCTCCGCCCCTCCTCCCCCACTCGTGCTCTCTCTCTACGAGCTCTCTCTCACTCTCAAATAAATAAAATATTAAAAAAAAGAGGCAGTGTAGTGCGCCAATTAAGATACAAATTTCTTTTTGTACTTTTTTTTCTTGAGTATGGTTGATACACAGTGTTACATTAGTTTTAGGTAAGATATGAATTCTTAAGAATGCTTCTGTCACGTACATATGTGAATTTGATGAAGTTACTTAACATTTCTATTTCCCAGTTTCCTAATGTATAAAATAATTAGCGTAATCCACCTCATAGGGTTGTTGGAAGGCTTAAGTGAATTAGTAATTGTGAAGTGCATAGAATGCCTTGCACGTAGCACACACCCAATAAACACCATCGGTTATCAGCAGTGGAGATGGAGAGAGGTGGACAGGATTGATTGTGACTTAGGTCAAGTCAGCTGGATTTGATGAGAGAGTTAGAGAGCTATATGTGACTGTATTAAATCATATGGTGGGATACTTATTTTCCCAGCTTCCTGGTGGTGAAGGGTGACCAGGGATGACATTCTGACATGCAGGAGGTTGGCTCAAAGGCTTCTTGGAAATATTTTTCTCCTTAACAAAGGTGGTAAGAGAAGGTCTTCCCTTTTTGGATGCTTTCATATGAGGAGTGGAGCTGCTGCCGCCTTTGTTTGAGACTCTGAGGAAAAAATTAAGAGGATCTCAGAGGCACTTACCTAGTCCGTCTTTGAACATCATCAGATACGTCCATGAATAACGGCACCGGATAGTTAACTGTCCCTAGAACTGCCCATTGCCCTCAGAATTCTTCTGCGTGAGAATGAAATGTCTTTTTTTTTTTTGAATTTTAAAAGATTTTATTTATTTATCTGAGAGAGAATGAGAGACAGAACACGAGAGGGGGAAGGGTCAGAGGCAGAAGCAGACTCCCTGCTGAGCAAGGAGCCCGATGCGGACCTCGATCCTGAGACTCCAGGATCATCACCTGAGCCGAAGGCAGTTGCTTAACCAACTGAGCCACCGAGGTGCCCATGAAATGTCTTTTTTGTCTACACCTCCATTAAGTGCAGCCCAGAGCACCTCTAATGATTGCACTGCTTTTTTCAAAGAATCAAATTATTTTTCAAAGGACTGCTCACTGCCTTCCCCTTTTCCCATTTCTGTTGTCTTCTTATTGGCCCCAAATGTCAGTGTCTTTTCAGGCACCCATATCAGTAGTCAAGCGGGCCAGTTTACCTCTTGGCTATCTTTGTATATACAATCGTCTCCATTGTCATTGACCTTGTCCAGCCTTTCATTGTCTCTATCTAAATGAATAGAGTTGCCCCCTAGCTGTTTGCTCTCCCCCATTCTGATACCACCTCCTCATGCCTGACAGTTCCGTTCTTGGAGCATGGGTAGAATCACGTATCTCCTCATTTACACCTACCAGCGGCTCTCTGTTATCTCTAAGATCCAAATGCCCCTGATCGACATTCTAGGCATGACATGTTTGGCCCCAGCCTGCTTTTCTAATACTTCCTCCTGCTCCATCCTTCTCTCTGGCAAATGGGAGGAGGATTTCCATGACTGGTTTACACCATGAGGTGTCCATGAGCCGAGGGATGTCTATCCCTGCCAGTTCCTCACTGTTTCCCAGCACATCGTGTTCTTTTTTGCCTCCTTTGCTGGTGCCAATCTCACAGCCTGGAATAGTCCTCCTTTTTATATCCCCCTTTCCACTCCACCGCTGTCAAAATAAAATCTTGCTCTTCCTTCAAGGCGCCATTCTGATGTCATCTTCTTCTCCAAAGTTTCCCTGGCCATCATCCTGGAAGTGGAATGGGTTACCTTTTGTTCTCCCATAAATGTTGGCATATATATTGAAACCAGTGTTTTTCTGGTGTCTAAGAGCATGGCTTCTGGAGTCAGACTATGTGGATTCAAATCCCAACTCTGCCTCTTAGTTGGATGAATTTTCTAACATAGCTGAGCCTTGGCAGCCTCATCTACAAAATGTGGACAACAATAGCACCCGAAGGAATGGTAGGACAGATGAGATAGTGTGTGTAAAGCATTTGGCACATAGTAATTGCACAATAAATATTGGCCACTGTTCTTATTTTTCTTTCACTGAAGTAATTATTTCATTTTTACCTTTCATCATGCTTAGCTTTATTGAACGTTCTCACTCACTGAGCTGATGTGAAGTTCTTTGGCAAATGGGAGGTGAACTGGAGAGAAGGTAACATTTATTAAGTCATACTGTGTGCCTGACTCTGACAGTTTCTTTGTACATCAACAATCCTGAGATGAGATAGCATCATGATCATTGTTTTCTTCTTCCTCACCCCTGCTTTACAAATGAATAATGGAGGCTCAGAGAGTTGTCTGTCTTGGCTGCCGTCACAGCAAGTAAATGGCAAAGCCAAGATCCACACCCATGCTTGTCTGATTTCCAAGGTCTGTGCTCTTTCCAGGAGTCCCTGCTGCCTCCTGTCATAAGGGGGGGGCTGAAATTCTATTGTCCTTAGGGCCCCTCAGCTTTGTCCTATTGTTTCAGTACCAATTAGATGGTCAGTAAGGTGTGTTGAATGTAATGTGTAATACAAAGACATTCATGTGTGATGTGTAAAAAAAGACATTTCTAATTCCAGAGATATTTTTTTTTTTCAAATTAAAGTATGGTTGACACACAATGTTACATTAATTTCATATGTGCAGCAGTGATTCCACAAGTCTGTATGCTATGCTCACCACAAGCGTATCTACCATCTGTCACCATACAACACGATCACAACACCATTGACTCTGTTCCCTATGCTGTGCCTTTTATCCCCGTGAATTATTCTTTCCATAACTGGAAGCCTGTATTTCTCACTCCCCTTCACCCGTTTTGCCCATCCCCCTTCCTCCTCTCCTCTGGCAACCAT